TTTGACTTCTGTGGAAAGCTTAGAGTGATATTTAACAAGGACTGGTACAATTTCCCTGCTGTGTCTATGGGAGCGAAATTCCCTCAGCCTGAGGGAATGTGTGAAGCTATGTCAGGGGAGGTTTAGGTTGGATATCAGGAAAAGTTTCTTCACCCAGAGGGTGGTTGGGCACTGGAACAGGCTCCTCAGGGAAGTGGTCACAGCACCAAGCCTGAGAGAGTTCAAGAAGTGTTTGAACAACGCTCTAAGGCACATGGTGTGACTCTTGGGGTAGCCTGTGTGGGGCCAGGAGTTGGCTTTGATGACCCTAGTGTGTCCCTTTCAGCTCAGGATATTCTATGATTCTGTGATTCTATGACAACTGAATTAGAGGAAACTTCATCAGCATGTTGCACTGCACAGGAATTCTGCTGAGGTGTGATGTGAATCTTCCCTGACACAGTGGATCCCTTTTACATCAGGTAAAATCTAAACTTAATAAAATCTTTCCATAGTGGAGATGTCAGCATGTTTGCTCTAGACACAAAAGGAAGGCATGTTTAATTTCCATGAGCTCTGGAACCCCTCTTATTGACTTCATCAAGACCTGGCTCCAGTTAGGAAATCATAAACTCACAGTTATGATGGGCTTTCCTCTGCCCCTGGCGTGTCAGGCTCTTTAGTACCACAGTAAAGTTACTGAAGTGAAGCTCCTGGAGCAGCACATTTCTCCTGTTAACCTCAGGACTTACAGGTTATTTCTACACCAGAAGGTGAAAAATGGGCATAGGAAGAGGAAAATTATCCTAGTCTCTTCCACTTCATGCCCATTTTGTTGGCTCTTAGCCTTGCAGTCATTCAGACTTGAGGTGCCTCATCTCAGCATGAGCTGTATGCAGTGCCTGATTTTGCTGTTTGTTTTTTTGTTTTTTTTTTCCTAGATATTTACCTTTATGTAGAATGGTCCATGCTATGTACACACATATTTTTCTCAAATACAGATTTAGGGACTTGGGGATGAGTAGGTCAGATAAGGGTGTCAAAAATTTGGGCATGTTTACGTGGCCAAGAAAATTCTACTGAAAGACTGCTTCTATACTGATAAATGAAACATACCTTATACTGTTCTTGGCCTTGAGGTTTACTTCTGTGCAATGGTTGTCTCACCTTCCAAAACATGGTGGCTCTATGCTGACTTATTATTGGGAGTGACCCCTGTTCCCTCCTAACTCTTGAACTATGCACAAAAGTGGTTTGGGGGAGTGCTGCTGGAACAGACCAAAGCCATTCCAGATGCTGTGGTAATAACATGCTACAGGTAATAAAGTTCCTGTGCCCAGAGTTGTTTCCCACCACTATTGTGCCACAGCAATAGTAGACAACCCTGTGTTTAGGGAGAATGGAGCCAGTGAACTGGGCTGACATGTTTCCAGTCCCACCTTCTCCTGCAGGCCACAGAAAAAAAAAGGGTGGGTCCATGCTCATGTCCCATATGTTTACTACTTCTTCTCTAAATCAAGCTTCAGATCTTAGGCTGTACTCAGTGATGGAATAAGGATTTACAGCATGGAAGACTGACCCTGTTTGGTGTTGACCAGTCACTTAGCTGACAGATAGACAAAGCCTTCCTTGTAGTCCCAGAGGAGGGAATTGTATTAATGTATCCTGAATGATGCCTGACTCATCCTTATGATAGCACATCATATTGTCACTGAGGGAGATAGAGCTGACCAGACCAGAACTTCCATCATTGTATAATGGACATGTGCTGGGAATATGGATCAAAACTGTAACACTTCCCTCCCCACTGCTACTCTAAACTGCATTGAGCATCGAGAAACACAATGGATAATCAGCACAGAAAATACATCAAATGTGGGTTTGAAACATTCCAGTTGGATAGGCAAGTTGCCTGTTACCAAAGGCTTACGGCTTAAGCAACTGCTGTCCTGAAAGGCTGTTAAAATCAAATTGTGAATTGACATCTCTGTCTTTGCAGCCCTGGAGCAGAGTGGCTGCCTCGCTATTTCGCAATGGAGAATCTAAGCATAGCAACACAGGGCTTAGTCTGCTGAATAGTGTGCAGTATTGTGTAATTTAATAACATTAAACTAGGATGTTCTGATAATATTATTTGAAAGCTGTTTATTTAATATCATTTATATTTTACATGTCAGTTGAATTTGGGGAAAAAAGACTTTAGATGAAACTGGGGGGAGCATGGTAGGAAATTGTGCAATGTACTTATCTGAGACTACATCACATGGTCTGAAAAGCACGGCTTTTGCTTTTATACACATAGTCTTGGCGACTCTCCCACCAGCAACAATAGTGCTCAGACTCATACTGATGTCACTGTTGAGTTATTTAATTTGACTGAACGAGATTAATGTGTTTATTTAAACCTTAGTCAAAATGGAAAAGAAAATCTCGGGACAATACTTTTATGTGAACATGTATGTTTTCACATCTGATGATTGTAATGTTGCATTAACTTATCAGGAGCAGTTGTTTACACATGCCAGTGCCCAGGAGACCTCCTCAGATAAGAAGTGTGATCCATTTTCCCTCCCAGCATAGAGCAGAGACTTCTACACTGCTACTGGTCCGGTGGGCTTTCGTCCCAGGCTTTCCTTGCTTCCTGTTGCTGCTTTCAGGGTTGATCCACAGTGATCCCAGCATTGTTTTATTTTCTCATGTAAGGACGGGCTTTGGTGCTGCCAGGCAATGACAGCAGTATGATGGTGGATCCTCCACAGGTTCTCACCAGGGCAGTGAGGGACAGACACCTCCACTGCACAGGATGTCCGGATAGGCTGGTGCTGGGTTCTGCAGCCTGAACCTGCTCCTGTAAAGACTGGAGCCTGCCTGCCTAAATTTTATCCACATTATGTTTTACAAACAGATAGAGGGGGTTATTTCCTTTGATAAATCACTCTGATTTTCCTTCATTCTCACATATACCCTCTAAGTGTTTGGAATAGACTTTGGTTTTGTATAGAGGCATTAGTAACTATCCAGTTAAATACTCCAGGTCATTGGACTTTTACTAGTGCGGAGCAGGGAAAAAAATCTGGAATCTGAAGTTTCTTTTTGTGTGGTGGGACAGGCTTCCACAGTTCTATGGAATCGATTTTTGACTGTTGAAGGACATGAGCAAGGGGGTTTCTGCCGTGCTCTGTCAAGAGCCTCTCTTGTCAGTTGAGGACAAATGGACACACACATAGGTTGATAATGTAGAAATTGCATAAGCCAGAGATCAGTGCTCTGGTGGGTGCCTGAAGCACCTGCCTGAATGTGTACCTGTTCTTCTTTCCTGTTCTTTAGTTCCTCTGTGCATATTTTCATGGTGCTTGGGAAAATATGGTCTTGGGGAAGAGCAGCTGCTGTTACCAAAGAGTTGCTTTCATGTATTCTTCTCTGTGGCGCCAAGTGCTTCCATCCTCCTAGTGCAGTGGAAGGCTTTTGGGACTTTAAGCCCCTTCCCCTACCATTGCTTTTTTTGTGGAGGAAGGGAAAAAGCTTGTTATGTTTCCATGTATCTGCATTTCTCAGGGTGATGGACATCTCAAAGGGAAATGCAGTGGCATAGGGATGGGCATGAGAACAAAACAGAAGGGCTGGGAGAAAAACAGCTCTAGGCAGTCCTTGGTCCTCAGTAAACATCACAGACTGCCCAAGAGGCTGTGCTACCCTGGGCCATGTGTGTTCACACTGCAGCAGGCTCCAGAGCTCGTGGTGCCGAGGGTATCTGAGTATGCCAAAGAACCAGTCTTTGGGATTGGCCTCCTGTCTCACTGTGTTGTACCTGCTCCTGCACACGGCGTCCCCAGGTACCCTTTGAACTCTTACAAGACCTGTACATTTAAGGAAATTGCACAAAAATATGGTTTGTGAAGCTCTGACACTCCCTGTGCTGGGCAACATCTGTCTCCTCAGTGGCTGCACCTAAGTGGTGCTGAGGACTGTGAGCAGGCCTTTATTAGTGGGGCAAAAAGATCCACAAGGGTGGGCTGGGGCAGTCATGGAGCTGCTTTTCTAGAGGCATCCATTTGGAAGCTGCCCCCTCTCCTGTTTTAAGTGCCCTCTGTGTAGTTCAGACCTTTGGATTTGCTATGCACAGGGGGTCCATGAAATATATTTAAAGCAGTAAATAGCTTGACATACAAGGGCATTTTTTACTCAGAGTTCCAGCCAGTGGAAATATGTAATTTTCAGCTAAAATTAGACTGGCTCCAGCTATATGAAGAAAAAAAAAAAAAAAAAAAAAAAGGAAAAACCCTCAAGAACTAAACTCTTTCTGTTGGACTTTTCTTTTTCAGATGTAGCAACTCCTAGCAAAAAAAATGCAGGATCCATCCAGCACAAACTGTGTCCAAAAGTCTGTGATTTGGATCCAGAAAGCTGTGAACTGTTGAAGAGAGAGAAATAGACTGTATAGGCAAAAAAGGCTTTTCTCTTCCATGTAAGAAAATATAAATAAGTTTAGAGAATACTAGTAAATCTTTAAAAATACTTAAATGAAATCTAGGAGAAGTTTAAATTAATTTTGCAGTTAATATTTTACAACTCTTGACAGTACTGTGAGATTGGAGTGGCAGAGAACGAGTTGAAATCCCAACACTGTTCTGCTCATTGTTTACATAGAATTTGATATTACAGATTTATTTTCATGGAAGATGATTGAGCTGAACCTACAGCTACCAGCATATAAAAAAGAGGGTAAATTTTCTTTTGTACTAAAAATAATCTTAGTCCTGCAACCATTTTCCTGGTGCATTAAACTCTAAACACAAGTTGAAGTGACTGGATACTTTACAATTTCCATGGTCCAACTCTAAAATGAGTGGCGCGGATAGTGTGGAAGAGAGGCTTGAGCCCAAAATAAACATTAAAAACCAAACAGAAAACCACTGAAAATTAACTACACATTTTGAGTGATTTCTCTTTCAAAACATTTTATTGAAGGAACAATGGAAATAGTGTGCGAAGCCTAACCATGTATTGTGTTGCTGTTCCAGGCTTCATCAGTAGTTTCTGGATGTTTGGAAAGTTCTGAGACCCACCCTGTCGGACTACTTGTAACCAGTGCCTAAGACTACAAAGACGTACGTGTGAAAGAACTTCTCTTCCTTCTTCCACTGAAGGAAGTGTCCATCACAACACTGTGGAAACTCTGTGCAGGCCTTGCAAGGCAGAAGAACAGTTTGTGCTTCTGTTGACACTTGTGCGCAATCTCTGCTTCTTATGCACTCCAACACCCCTATCAGTTCCTTGTTCTCCTTCACCAGCCCCGCAGTGAAACGGCTGCTGGGCTGGAAACAAGGAGATGAAGAAGAAAAGTGGGCAGAAAAAGCTGTTGATTCCTTGGTGAAGAAATTAAAGAAGAAAAAAGGAGCCATGGAAGAACTGGAGAGGGCTCTGAGCTGCCCGGGTCAGCCCAGTAAATGTGTCACAATCCCACGTTCCTTGGATGGGCGGCTGCAGGTGTCTCACCGCAAGGGGCTTCCCCACGTCATATATTGCAGAGTGTGGCGCTGGCCTGACTTACAATCTCACCATGAGTTGAAACCACTGGAATGTTGTGAGTTCCCTTTTGGCTCGAAACAGAAAGAAGTGTGCATCAACCCCTACCATTACCGGCGGGTGGAAACCCCAGGTAATTATGTCATCTGCAAATGATTCGCATCTCTGTGTTAGCTCTTGCTCCGGCAGGTCTAATCTTGGTGCATCCTACAGCAGTGCTCTGAAATGTGAAAAGGCAGGCTCCATCTGATGGAAGGATCTTGGGTCTTGCCCTGCCTGCTGCTATCACAGCTCTGGCAGCCAGGACTAGGGAGGGAGTAAGGAGCCCCTTTCCCGTTGGGGTCTGAGTCCTGTCGGACCCCTGAGGGCACCCGGATCTTGTCCAAGGTGCTGAAAGCAGCTTCCTCTCCATGGACGTGGGTGCTGAATCCTCGCTGTCTGAACTGGTGGCCATTTGCATGAAGTCTGAGCACCAGCCTGGCCTCACCAACGTGGTGAGATTTATGTCTCATTGAAGTCCAACAGTTGACTCATTAAGCCCCAGGAAACACTAGCTTTCTCTTTAAAGATAAGAATTGCAGTAAAATGGCATATTTTGCAATGAATAGGAAACCAGGTCAGTTGATTCTTCCTAAAATACCTGGTGGCCTGCCTTAAGTGGGATTTACTTACCTAAATGGAGAGTTTATGTGAAATAAATCCACCAGGTTCCCATAAAAATTTGAAATTTTCTACTGATAATCCTCTTTGAACTTCACTAAAAGTGAAAAGTAATTTAATTGGGCTTTATGTCAATGAAACAGCTGTTAAAAAATTGTAGTGTTCAGTGTTGACTTCTATAGGGATCTTGGAAAGCAGGGCTGGCAAAGGTCTTGAGCAGTCATCCTGTTTTCCTCTGTCCAGACTCCCAAACCAAACCAAATTACCAGGTACGTTCCTGACAGATATTTTCCTAATGAGCTCTAAAAATCCCATGTGATAAAGGCTCTACAACCTCCCCAGGCAAGTGAAGCTATTGCTTTGCTATCCTTACAGTTCAAAATGATTTCTAATGTCTAACCTAGCTCTCCCTTACTGCCAAAAATCACGGTAATTTAATTTACTAATGGATACAGTTGGTAAGTGTATACTTTTTATTCTGAGATTACTCCTTGTCTGGCATGAACTTTACTCTGAGGTGACATTAGGATCAGATAAGTGAACTGTGGGATGTTTCTTTTCACACAGATGAAATAAGGGAAAGACATTTGTTAACATTTGTTAAACACCAGGGGCTGCTTCCTCTTCTGATAATCCTCCCAGTGCAGCAGAGCTGTCACTGTGAAGTCATATCCAATCTGCTGTAAACATTGCCAAAACTTTTATATTTTACAGCTACACTGATGGGTGCTTGTTGTCAACAGTTTTCAGGGGAAAGAGCTAATCCCATGCCTTGCTAAAGTAAACTCTTCAATAATTTAAGAAAAGATGCTCATAAAATATCCCATCTTTTGTTTATTGGACTTCTTTATTTGCAGGCTGCAGTCTTTAGTGTCTCTTAATTTCTTCTGGTGCAACTTCAGTGCGGTTAATTGAGTCTCCTCAGTGCAGTAGCTGACAGCATTGAACGATGCTGACTTCAACCCTGGTTTTCTCATCTGTTCAGTGCCAGCTAACAAATACTGCTAATGGAATGGTCCAGCAGCGGCTAAATGGCTGTCAAAGCCTGTGGTTCTGATCCTGAAACTCAGAAGCTTTCAGCTGTGAACATGTCTCTTGTTTGTCTGTGCAGACTGGCAGTATCCGTGCTAGTAAGGTAGAAGGTGACAAGGTGCAGGTCTGGGTACTGCTGAATTGGTAACACAATCCCGGGAACAGCTTTCACCCCTGTGGACTTGTGTGGACTAGCAGCTCTCAGAGTGCAGGGGTTAGCCCACAGGAGGGACTTTGGGCACGTTGGACTTGGCCACCTTGTTTTGGAGGTGAAAGTGAGTGCAACTGTGAGGACACAAACTGTGTTTGTGCTGTGCCAGATCTCCAAGGACGCAGAAATTGTTCTCAGGCTGTTGTATTCACTCCTACAACTCTGCTTACAGGGACAACTCAGAAGCTGAAGCTCACAGCTATAGAATGTTTGTATCATATAGCAAAGAGTGCAACCCACTCAGGTGTTCTGGGGCAGCAGCAGGAGAGAGAACTTGCACCACTGCAAGTGGTGCAATGCCGCTCCAGTTAGAAAGCAGTGCTGCAAGGTGTTGGCAAGGCAAGGAAACAAATGAGCTTCATGAGAAAGTGGCAGCAGTGAGATCACCACAGAAAAGGCTGGGAGTGGTTGATTTAGGTGCTGGTCTGTTTAAACAACAGTTCTCTTTAAACTGCAGGAAATCTGCATCTTGGCTGTTGGTGGTCTTGGGCTTATATGAGATTCTCCGAGTTTCATTCTCTGGAGCCAAAGAATCTCCCATTGATTAAGTCAATGCTGTATTTTTTATAATCCACCTACCAGTATTATTTTCATACAAATGTCCACCCTTTTGGAGATCATTTTCCATCACTGCAGTCTTTCTTGCTGAATCAACCACTCCACGACCAGATCCATGAACTTTAATCCAGAACGAATGAGTTGTGTCAAAGATGGGAGGGCCTCATCCTTTCTTTGACAGCCTGGCAAATCCCTAGACCTCTGTTACTAGAGAACAGCTTTGAAATCTGGTCAGAGATTTAGGGATTTCATTACCTCTTCTCCGTCCTCAGGCTGCCCAGTCCCATTTTAGGTTCTGCTACTGAAACTGCGCAGATGACACATGGCTTTTATTGCTGCTACAACTTCTCAGGTCTGCTGAATAGCAGGTGCCACTTAGAAAAAAAAGCAAAAAATATTTCCTCTATGTGTGCAACACCTCACTGCAGAGATGAGTTAGGCCACCTAATCTGAAGGAGGTAGGTATGTTGGTTATGCTCTGCTTCCCCCTTCATTGTTGCCTTCAAAGAGCTTCTCAGAAGTCTGGTTTGTTGTCAACAGAAGCTGCCTAAACATGTACCCTATTGTTCTTTATAAGAGATCATTCATATGTAAGTATTGCAAATTTGAGGGTGCACCATTGCTGTAGACAGGAGAATTTTTGACTTAGACTAACTGACTGCTTTCATGAAGGCTGAGTGGGACTAATATGTGACAGCCTCCCAGGTGGAAGACCACCTGATGGCTTCACTGTTGGCCATGTGTTTGGGAGTAGTCATGGGCACAGAGAAGAGATGGATATCACTGAAGAGCGGTCTCCAAAAGTAGTAAACTATGCAGAGATGGATTAATGTGTGAGAAATCGCAGTGTGGATGTTGTACCTGAAATTAAAATGAGGTAGATAAGTTTCCTTGATAGCATCTGAAGTCACAGGCACAGCCAGGTTCCCATCAAGAACTGTTGATGCTAAAGGGAGTGGGAGAAAGGTATGAAAAGCAGTAGCAGGACTTAGGACATGACCATATTTGTCTTTAGTTGAGCAAAGATCATCAACACTTCAGCATGCAAAGAAGGAAGGATCCACCTCTGGCTCTTGGTGGACAGTAGCAGGTAGAAGAAAAGGACCCCAAAGAGTGGAGAAAATGTGGGTAATTTATGAGGACAAACAGGTCCCAAAACACTCAGTTACTCAGTTTTATGCCTCTGGTCACATTTCCTTCAGAGTGGTTGAGCCCTGGAGAGTGACATGTTACCAAAAGAACAAGGAGAACGAGGCCCTGGGGGATATTCTTACCCACAAACAAGAACATCTCGGAATGCTTCCCCACCACAGAGGCTTTAGTCCTCTAGGCAGTCACAGAACAGTCAGTGGAAAGAGTGAGTGAGGTGGCAAAAAACTGTTCAACAGAGCAGAAATTAAGAGTGCCATGGTCAGAGCTGGGAAGGAGTTGAAGGCTTGAAAATTCTTCCTGCTGACTCACTCAAGGCAAATCAAAGGCTTTCCCTGGCAAGTGCTGTTCACACATCCAGATTCTCAGCTTTCATTTAGAGAAGGAGTTGAGTTCTCACAGGGCTGAAGGCAGCAGCTCCCTCAGCTGTGGTACCCAGTGAGGTGTCAGCCTCTCAACACTGCAGGACATTGCTGCACACAGCTGCCCCTTGCTCAGCACCTCTGCTGGGTGCAAAGGGATCATCAGCTCCTCATTTTTGAAGCCAGTCAGAGCTGGCTGATCAGCAGCAGACCTGACAAACATCATAACCGTTTCATGGAGCTGCTGTGGAAAACTTCAGAAGCAGCAAAGGAAAACTCCAGAAGCAGCAACAGCTCACAGCCTGGAGCTGTTCACAGGAGCAAGGGATGGGAGGAATACAGCTCACCAAAACCATATCTGCAGTGATGGTACCGGTCTTGTCCCAGTACATAGCAGTAAAATATTTTATTCCTCTCCACTGACTGTGAAGAGATCCACAGGGGACTGGGCAGTGCATGCCAGATGTGAATACTTGTATTCCTATATATTGCCTGTATGAGTACTCCTTGGATGTTTAAAGCTAAAAGAACAGTAAAGAAGCAGAAATACCTTTCTCTACCAAACAACTTAAGAAAGTGGCAGCAGATTGTTCATGCCAAAAATAGGGGCATATGAGGGGCAGAAGGAAAGAAAGTAGTCTCCAGAGTACCAATCCTTGTCCTGGCCAGAGGCTAATTAGCAATGCATTGTGCCAGAGAACCATGTATGTGTGGTGCCTTAACAGGTATCCCAGTGCCTATATTCCTGGGCAGGTGAGAAGATAACTTCTGCAGTGAACTCCTTGCCATCAGTCCAATCTTTTGCATAATGTTAGGGCTCAGTTCTTCAGGTCATGGGTGACTAGCAAATTCCCAGTGGTATATTCCAGTGGGTGGGCAGAAAAGTTGTTTAACCCTGCCTCTACTGCAGCATGGTGCTACATTGAGCAAGAAGCTGTAAACCCATTGTTAGCACCAGGCACTGTAAACTCCCCAGCTCTCTGAGCAACTGATGTGCATTCCAAGAAGAGTTCCGGCAGCCTCTTCTCATGCACATGTTTTGCATTATCTATACATTATTTGCTTTATTCAATAGCAATTATTCCACTCTTTCATTAAGCTGGATAAATGAGAGTTTGCTGTAATTAAAAGTTGTTAGCTAACCTACCCCAAAATAATTTGCCTTACCTAGACAGCCTTTTGGCCCAAGCAATATGTTAAAACATGTTCAAACTGTATATTCCCATCAACATTTGAAAACAAGAGCATACATTGCTATTTGTTTCCATAAACTAGTAAGGATAGACTGGAAGATGATGTGCAGCTGGGTTTTAGCCAGAGGAACTCTCGATACTAGGTCAGTCAGTACAAGCCTGCTGAATTGTCTCTAATGCTGGGACAATTCATCCTTCTCACAATAACTCAAATTGCCTCCTTATCTTCTTTGGTGGCTTTTAGATCTGCATGATACCAACTGGGAATTCATTCCCCCTACCTGTACTGAAAGCCTTAACTAAGATAATTAGGAACTATGTGAGCTAGTAAATAATAGAGAAATTTTGGGGTATGGGAATCACCCATTGTAGGGGCTGCTCTCCCCACTAAGGACTATGAAAGACACAGTTAAAGCCTCAGGTTGAATTCTCATATTCAAAATTATTCAGCAAGCCTCCTTGTGTTCCAGTCTAGGGACTGCATCTTCATAGGTATCTCACTAGTCAGGATTTTCAAAATGTTTTGAGTCTTAATGCTACTCTTGCTTCTCATGTGTCAGAATCCAGAGTAATTTGGATCAGCTCTGGGTTTCTCAAAGGGACAATGCTGTTAACAGCGCTGACAGTGTGAGATAAAAGTGAAGAGAGTTTGTGAAAGGGCAGTATCTTCTAGACTAATTTTTAAATGGGTTAATTTGGATTTCAGTTTTCTGGCCTGCATTTTTCATGTCTTAAATATGAACCACTGACATTTGCCTTCTTATGCGAGATCTTTTCTAACTATATTGCAGGACCTAAATTGATATTGTTGCAATGTTTGAATTGCCATTTACATTTCCTTTCAAAGATCCCACTGTCTGTCTGACAGCATTTTCAAGTACCTCACAACATTTCAGATCTGGTGTCTGGCTTCAGGGCTGTACTTCTTTTTTCCTATCTGTAACACACTGGTAGTAAAATATGCAGTGTATTGTAGAGCACTATTAATTGGTATTAAACTTGGCTGTGAATTTGACACATCCTGGTGACAATATTTAGAAAACTTCTGATGTGTTCAGTTTTTGAAGAAGGGAGGAACAGATAATTTTGAAAGGCAGAGACGTACCACCTGAATTTCTGCATGCCATATTTGTGAATTTTATGGTACCTTTCTCAAGTCAAGATTCCTTATTTTGCATGTGCAACTGCTGTAACTGGCTGCAGATCTGGAGAAAAATGTCCAAGAATTCAGCTTTTGAATCTTGGGTTTGGACAAGTTTGTTACTCTTCAATGACTTGTATACAGACAGCAACATTTGAGCAGCATGGAATATGCCTCTTTTTAACTTACAACAAGATATACTTTCAAGAACACAGCTTTAACCATTTTTTTCTGTTGTTTTTGTTTTCAGTGCTACCTCCTGTACTCGTTCCAAGACACAGCGAATTTAACCCTCACCTCAGCCTCCTTGCCAAGTTCCGAAACACTTCTCTGCACAGCGAGCCACTGATGCCACACAATGCCACTTATCCGGATTCTTTCCAGCATCCTCCATGCACCCCTTTCCCATCATCCCCCAGCCACATGTTCTCCCAGTCACCTAACAGCATCAGCTACCCCAACTCACCAGAAAGCTCTTCTGGACCAGGAAGTCCCTATCAGCTCACGGGTAAGAATGAGCTTTGGGACACCCTGACTGAGGCATTTGAGGTCAGGTGACAAATCTGTGCTCCCCCCAGACTGTAGCTGCAGATTAAACTGTTGGATAGAATAGACTTGGAATGTGATTTCTTGTGACTGTCTCCTGTATATTGTATCTCAGTCCTTCTGACAGATGCTCTGGAGATTGAGAACTGTAGTCATCCTGCTCCTAGAAGTGCCTGGGTGAGATGTCATGATTACTCTGGGGAAAAATTGAGGAGACAAGCAGGTGTGGCAGGCCACCTTCTATCCAAAGCTGCCCATCCAAGCTTCTGGTGCAATTCATGGAAAAGAGCACTTGCAAGACCTAAGTTAGGGACCTAGGATGGTCAGGGTAGGAACCTCTAGAAACTCCATCAAGGAGACAGGATAAAATGAGGAAACTGGTGTGCAGAAATTTTTTTAAGTTTATGGCAATCCGACTGACTGTATACATTTCAGAAAGTTAAGGTGTTTAACAATCTGGCCCAACACTTGGGGAAGTCACCAGGCAAGTTCCTGTGACTTTGGAACATGTTCCACAGTTCTGAGATTAGCAGGCTTATGTCACTCAGATTGTTTGTGTTGTGAACTCCTCACTTAGTTCAGCTCTAATTACCTGAAAATTTAACTGTGCTTTTGCTGTTAATGCAACACAGCTAAGAGCTAGTTTTAATATCAAAACATGGTTCAGATTCACTTCAGCACTTTAACTTTCAAATAGTTTCAGTTATGTCAGCTTTTTCACAAAGATGAATTCAGGTCAGAATCTTGTAATTTAAGATTTTAGTGTCTCAACTATGAACCATTTAAATTCAGGTCTTTAATGATATGCCTATTTCATTTTAAGTGCAAGAAAGATGTTTATTTTACAAGGTTTTTGTAGCATTTGAACTTCCTTTTAAGTTTAATACTTTCAACACAGTGTGATGTTTTCCCTTCCCTCTTCATTCATTGAATGTGCCTTCATTCATTTCTTCTCTAGATCTGTATTTCTGATTAAATCATATTTAGCAACACTGAAACATTTCATCAAGTAGCAAGACTTGTTTGTCTTCTCCAATATTTTTCTTTCACCTGTGTGTAACTAAGCTGGATTCAGTGGAGCTGGTCCTGACAGGTAAATCAGGCCCATTCCAGCTGTGTAATGACTCTCACTCGTGCATTTAACTGAACTTGGGACCTTGCAAAGCTACTTAGTAATGGAAGTGGCTCAACCTGAGCTTCAGTATATCACAGCACACGGCACACTGATAAGCATGATTTGCCTGTGTAACAATCAGGGATGGAAGGCTATCTAAAGCAAACTGGAGTTGCATCAAGAACCTTGAGAGGGATTACTGTGACCAAATATAGATGTAAACAATGCAGGTTTCTGCATCTCATGGAATTTTCTATATATTCCCCATAAGCCATGGAGGAAAACAGACACTCCTAAAACAAGATTCATTGCATCTTCTTGTATGTGTCCAATACACTTGTATGTGTCTGCAGGTTCCTATTTTGCTTTAGTGGACATAAGGAGATCTAAATGTGACTAGCTTAGGAGTAGACATCAAAAATACCCATATGGCATGTGATTCTGAGATTATATTCCTTTCTGTAATTTATTTTCTCTTCCGTTATTTCTTGATTTTGTTTTACTGTTTTTTGTTGGAGGGTTATGTCATTTAAGTGTTAGAAATATTACATAGTGTATGAAATTCCTAGGTTTTGAACAGTGCTTAAATAGAATAACATGGCTTACTTGTAAGATTCAGTGGTTGTCTCATGATACAGTTCACAGTTATCCACTCTGGGTCAAGTTGCTCCATTTTGAGGGCCAGCCAACAGACCCCAAACACCAGAGGGAATTTCAGTCTGGAACCAAGTTAAACCATTCTTAAAGAGGCCCTTGGCCCTGCAAGCTTGTATATGGCTATAATTTTCACACAAGCCCCTTGAGTTTCTCTTCAAATGAGGCAAAACTATACACTTTTAGTGCTTAATCACTGAATGTTGTTATTTTATAATATGAAAATGAAGTCCTTTTTAATTTGGCTTTCTAAAGCCTCCAGCCTTTCTGCGTAATCCCCACTGTAGGGTCACCTTCTGTTTTCTAGCTCATGTTGCTGTAAATGAAACAAATCAAGAGCAGAACAATTGTGACTTGATACTTTTCCTCCCAATGTTTTCATGACATATATTGCTCTTTGATGGGAAACTGAACAAACCAGGAGAAGGACAGATTTCCCTTGCAGGACAGAGCTAAAAAGAACAAGTTTGGAGCGAGTTTTTTCAAGTCGGATTTCTGTAGCTTTCCATAGGCTTTTTTACAGATTATGAAGAAAGAGAGCTTTCTCCCAGAGGATCAAATCAAGTTAGTTTCTGCTCTTAAATTGTCCTCCTCAAGTTTTAAATTAAAGACAGAATTCTGGAAATAACGGATGAAAGTGCACTACTTTCTTAGGGTAACAACTGGTGTTAACAGAGAACTTGATTTTACATGGGTCTAGGCCTGAGGCACTGTTGTGACCATCCCTCTCTCTTTCAAGCACTGCATGTCCAACATGACAGCTTTTCCTTCCCATTTTTGCTGAACATTCAATGGTCTTAATCTGGAGACTGAAGGGAGGCCAGATTCAGATTTGTGCTTTTTCCAGTCTTCTCAAGCCGAACAGTACTGAAGTAGTAAAATACTCACCAGGAAAAAAACAGGAGGAACTTACCAACATACTGACTTAGGTGTCTTTCTTCCTTTCTTTCTCCTTTCTTTTTTCTTTCTTTCTGTAGTGGAAACTCCACCTCCGCCCTACCATGCAAGAGAACCTCCAGGAATCCACAATGGACGGTCAATGGATGCAATAGCTGAAAGTCAGCTAGTGCTGTCTTTGCCCAATGGAGGTAAATCTGCCGATGGAGAAGCTGAAAGTAAATACCATTTGTACTATTCTTTAAATAAGAACTTATAAGAAAAATAATTGTTTAAAAAAATTGTTATTTGCACAAGAAGGGTTAGTGATCTGTAATAAGTTTCAGGCAGTTTTGCAGTAAGGCTGTGTGCTAGACCCATCCATTAGCTAGCAGGATAGGTTGATGTAATATTTCCATGAATTATGTGCAAAGTTACAGAGTTTAGACCTTATTTGCATCCATGGACTATTACAGTTAAAAAGCTGTTAATGCAGGCAAACACTGTTATCTACATTGTAAAGATAAGCATATCAAATCGGGGATGGTGGGGCAATATAACACACAAAAGCATTATCAATATCGGACCTCATTTCTTTATCACCTTCAGCTCTAGGTTTCAAGTTTAAAACCTTACGGTAGGGAGCTTTTTACTGCCATTTTTGTATTAATGTTATGTTACTGGCTGGCTAGAAAAGAAAAGGACACGTTCTAGTGGAGTACAAAGATATTTTGGCACAATACCAAAGTCTTTGCTGTCTTTTTTGGTGGGAGAGGCATTAATGGTCAAAGAAGGGTCTGGGGTCCTGCTTGCACCCCTCAAAGCAACTTGGTGACCTCTCCAGCACGGCCTCTGCTACCTTTGGGCTAGTACTGGCTAGTACCCACCATTCAGAGCCCATTGCTGCAGAGTAGGAAGGGGAAATGGAGTTCCTCTGCTGGCATTTGCTTTGGCTTCCTGCTACTGTAGTAGTAGTTGTTCTTTTAGTCCATCATATTGTGTTCCTAAAGAAGTGTCATTTCTAGACTGAGGACTGAACACTGCACGCACATGCACATTAAAAAAATATTGCCAGCCTTCTGAAACAGCGAGGAGTGTGTATGTAGCATGGAAATGGAGCAGAAGGAATGTGAGGTGATAGTGCTAATTATGGATGAGGACACAGAATGGCCAGATAATAATAAGTTATCAGACACCAATACTTATAAATAAATTGTCAAGCTAGTTTAATCTCTTTATCACAGTCTACCATCCCTGATCATTATCCTAGTGAATATTAGTTGGAAGTTTATTAGAGGTTGTGCACAGAGGTGCTCTGGGGGCAGGCGGGCTCACATGCCTGTGGTGACCAGGCAGGATAAAGTTTCCTAATAATTCCTGTATGACAAATGAGGCTCAGAGATTCTGTTACCTTTTTGAGTCTTTCTCTGTCTCTGACTTAGAAAACCTGGGCAGGGATAGATCCAAAAGAAATGACCTTGCTGACATTCCTGCTTACAGTCCCACATGGAAGCAGAAAGCCTGAAAGTGTGCAAAAATTGGAGTGATTTATTACTTCTGAACTACAGAGTTTGGTATTAGGCTGAAGGCCTAATACCAAAAACTTGGCTCAGTTTTGACTTGCTTTGAGCTCATCTGTCATCCCTATCTCCTGCTGGTGTGCAGAGCAGATGTACCCCTTACTATTTTCAGTGTATAGTTCAGGCCCCAGTTCAGCGAGGATTGTCAGTGCAGTTGATTTAGTGCAGTAGAGTTTCCACTTTTAAGAAGTGGGGCTCCTTGAGGCTTAGAGTTAAGCTGATGCACCAACCTTTTGCATGTTTGGGACTTCAGTCATGAAATCAAGAAGCAATGGAAGCTGCTGTTGGGATAAAGTATGACATAAGTGACTGTTTAGATGAAGAGATGGGGGGCTGAGAGTGGGAGGGAATGAAAGAAAACAGAGAAAGATTGTTTAAAAAATATTGCTGAAACCTGAGCAGGTGCTTAACTTTATTTCCTACAGACTTTCGGCCTGTTTGTTATGAGGAACCCCAACACTGGTGCTCAGTTGCCTACTATGAACTCAACAACCGGGTAGGGGAGACTTTCCAGGCCTCCTCTCGAAGTATCCTTATAGATGGATTTACAGATCCTTCAAATAACAAAAACAGGTTCTGCCTGGGTCTACTCTCAAATGTAAACCGCAATTCTACTATAGAAAACACCAGGAGACACATAGGAAAAGGTAAGAGGAAATCCTTCTTCTCAGGATTAATATTCAGAGCTCAGAAGATCCATGCATTGCATGAACAAACCTAGCTGATCCATCAGATGTGCTTGCCTTAAAATCAAACCTCTGACATTACTTCTGAAATAGAAGAAAAGCAGAAGGTTCTTTTCTGACTGGATAACAATCAGCAGAGTAACTCCTTACAAAAGCTATTTACTTGGCCAGCAAAGAGAAAAATGTTGTTTATAGTTGTGTGTTCTAATTTAGCAGTATGTATTTTCATTTTATTTATTAGAGCTTCTGGCAACTGGGAATATTGCCATTGAAATGCCACTAAAAGGATAATTGCTGGTGCCTCAGGGCTGCTTCTCCTCCCACCAAATAACAAAGGGAGATGGATGAAACACTTAGTAATTGAGTTACTTAGCTGAAGAACTCTGGTAGAACTGTGTTTGTAGCTTTCCCTCCCCTGCCCCCCACCAGTCTGATTCCCTGCTTTGTCAGCTTTTCACGAGTAAAACTAAAGTTTGTATTCTCCTGCCAGTGGCTGCTGGTGCAGCTCTGTGTGCCCCAGCTCTGGTGTACATGCACCTTCAGCATGCAGTGTGACATGCTGCTGGTGCCGAGCATGAGGAGAGCACACCTGGATGTACACGGCCACACACACTCCATCCCAGCTCCCCAGAGCTGTGTAGGGTTTGATATTCTCCCAGAACTTACTGTTGTTTGTGGTGGTGAGTCAGAAGTCCTGTGCCAGCCACTTCTCCATGCAGATGAAGCTTTGCCCGTTCTGGTACATCCAGTCTAGACTCATTATCTTGCCAACCCAGCCTCTCACCAGTAGCTGCCTGGGAATGTATTTCCCACTGGGCTAATTAACTCTAATTGTTCCACTCTTATTATCTTGTCAACCTCACCTCATTTCCCAGGCCTAGAGCAATATTTTAATTGGCTCATGATAGTCTAGTGTTGAATGACTGAATACGAGGAAGCTCTGAGACAAATGTGATGCATTTTTTGCAAACAGCAGTGAACCTGAGGGCTGGAACAGGCAATGCTGTGCTAAGCTCTTGCACTTTTCCTCAGAATGAAAAACACTTATGTTGCAGATGCTACAAGTGTGTGCTATAATGGTTCGTTGTGAGGAGTGCAAATGTGTTGTACATCTAGTTCTAACGTACTTAGAAAATAAAGCAAAGCTTTACACCCTGTCAGTGTAAGCTGTCGGAGGGATGTAGATCAAAGCTGAACCTGGCCCTAAAAGAATGACAAAAGCTCCCAGCTGTCATTTGGCAATGTTACAGTCTGTGACTTTCTGCCCCAAAAGATGAGGAGACAGAACAGAAATAAAGTTGGGTAAATGCTAATGGTCTTCATCCATTTAAATGTGAAGATCTGTCTTAATTGATTAGAAGTCTTTTAAAGTCCTACACTAGGAATGTGCCCAAGGGAAGGGAGCAGGTTGCCCAGAGAGGAGCTTAATATATCAGAGGTCCTTAATTTTACTGCTCTTCCCTGTTTATGCAAATCCTAAAAAACCATATACAAGTGGAATAGAAGTGGCACCAGTGCAGGCCTGCAGAAGAGCACAGAGCAGCTCCAGAAGCCAATAGTGCAAAGGCATGGTGGACAGATGAAAGCTGCTGAAATGGATACAATTGTCACATGTTAACACTGGAGAAAAAAAAGAGTGAGTAAACAAGATTAGCTCAGTAGGATAAAGATATGTGATTGAATTGTCATCTAGAGTATCAGCGTGAGACCATTTCCTGGAAATACCACATCAAAGCTAAAAACAATCCAGAACACAATGCAACATCTACGAGCAATTGGACCTGTTTCAGCAGTCAGACTTCAAGGACAAAAAAGTAACTTTCAATCGGTGTCAAAAAGATGTGGATGCTTGGAGGCTGCTGAATTTTCAGTTTCTGCAGAGGCAATGAAATACCACTAAAACATACGGACCTTTGATTTGGTCTTCTACAAATATGTATTTAGCTGCCTGGTTTCCTTTAGGGTGCTTTCCTCTAGTGAATGAATACTAGAATAATAGGAATACACACTGATTAGTGTTGTATTTACTGCTTTAAAAAAGTTAACAAGAAGAAAACAATTTGTAACCTCTGTTTTCAGAAGCGGCATTGATGTTTTTGTTATTGTAGCACAATGTTTGGGCAATGCCTTTGAAAGCATTCATTTTTTTCAGAAAATGTGTTACTTAATATACTTTGAAAACTCAGCCTTTAAAATTTTTCACCTTAGTGGTTACCTTAAGTCAGTAGCTACTCCTGAAAATTTGAAATATGGTAATATTTGAATATTTGTGTCCTTATTCTTATCTCCCTACCCTCTGTTCTCACTTCATCTGATTATTTCAGACAGCTATATGGACTCCATCAAGATCTTTTCTGTCCTTCCCTTTTATCCATTTCCATGGGAAGGAAAGTCAAGTGGTAACAGCCACGGTGTGCAGCACCCCACAGTACCTGGTTCGGGTAGAGCTGATGCTTTCCTGTTGCTGCTGTTCCCAGTGCAGCACCAGAGTGTGCTCCGAGCCACAGCCCTGCCACTCGCAGCTCATTTCAGATCTTGTGGGTGCTCAGAAGTCAAGTGATGGGTTGAAGACAGACTTTAAGGCTCCCATCTGAGTCACCCTGGTAGACTATGGGAGAGTGTATTTTTCCCAGATTCTTTTCCCACTCAACCTGCTTCACCCCGTGCCATTCCCACTTCTGTTTAGAGGTTGGTTTTGTCCTAAGGATGTGCTGCTGCCCCTTGTTGTTATGACTTCAGAATGATGAACAGACTGGGAATATGTAACCAGTCATTGTTTGTATGAAAGACAGCAGGAATAAAACTAATTACAGCTGCATTATTAAAGCACAGTTACCAGTAGCTTTGCAGGCAGTCTACTGAGGCTCTGTGAACATTTGTGTGTGTTTGAAGAGCATACCTAGTATTAGAGAGGAGGATTTTGTTTTTATTTAGTGGTGGTTTTTACAAGAACAAAGAACTGAGTTCTTCCGCCTCTCTTGGCCCTGGGAAGGGTTCATTTCCCCTAATCTAGCCATAGGAAGGATGACTTGTCCCCCTTCAGGCTGTGGCTTCCTGCTCACTTTTCAAGCAGTCAGGATCCCCATTACCACACTTGTACAGATGAAGATCTCACAAGATCTCACTGAAAATAAATTTTGTTTTGTTTGTTTTTAAGTTTATTAGCTGATTCAGTTCCTCAGCCTGGACAGCTTCCCAGTCCTCAGCTGTTGCTGCCAGCATGAAAGCAGGTGTGTCAGCAGGGGCAGGGAATGGGAGAGCCTTTTCAGCACCTGCACAGACTTCCATGGCTTTAAGCTGGCTCTGAGCCTGCACTCTGTAGCAGATGGAGTGAATCATCTGGTTACAGTGCCTCTCTCTATCTATCAGCTAGAGAAGGCATCTACACAATTATCATCTTACAGATGATCCCCAAATTCAAGGTTGCTAAATTAGACTAAGATAAATTCTTCCACCAATTCAGGTATGTTTTCATGCAAGCAGATATCCTTGGTGGATCAGAGTATTTGAAGGGATAGAAGTGCTTCCACCTTAATTTCCCCAAGTCACAGTCAAAATTTGAGTTAGTCTTGGTTAGTCACTTGGGCACTGAAAATTTCAGAAGAAAATCAGTCATTTTCTTGCTAAAGATCACTTGGAACAGGATGTGATGAGTAAGTCATATCATGTAAATGCAAATACATGGTTCTGATGTGGCAGATAAAGCAAAATACAGAAAAGTATTTTAAGCACACGCCATGCTGTGTTTTAAATGGGTGACAGTAGGATCCTGTAGTAAAACAACTGCATGCAGTGAAGTGGGTCTCGGCCAGTGCGCATTTGCTTAACAGCGAAAATACATTTAGCTGTGTAATGCAATAGTGATTTTTCAGGTCTTGGATAGTTTTGATTGATGTCTAGGATATTGTTGACAAGTGTTTGATGTTTATGCATGTGTATTTTGTCATAAAGTACTATGCTGTTAGGTAAAAGTAAAGCAACCTGCACTGAGAAACAAAGATCCTGGAAGAATCCTGGTCTTGTAAGCCCAAACCAGTAAAATAATTAATTACTGGCATAAAGTGTATTGTGAACAATGGAGAAATAATATGTTACTTTTTTTTTTTTAAGGTGTTCATCTTTACTATGTCGGTGGGGAGGTTTATGCTGAATGTGTCAGTGACAGCAGTATTTTTGTGCAAAGCCGCAACTGTAACTACCAGCATGGTTTCCACCCAGCCACGGTCTGCAAGATCCCCAGTGGCTGTAGCCTCAAGATCTTCAACAACCAGCTCTTTGCCCAGCTTCTTGCCCAGTCAGTCAATCATGGTTTTGAAGTGGTGTATGAGCTGACCAAGATGTGTACAATTCGAATGAGCTTTGTCAAAGTAAGGATTCTTTGCTTTCTCTTACATCCTTGCTTTTGATTTCTCTTACCTCCTTTGGTGCAAAACTAGATCCCATCAAATCTGTTCCAAGGGAGGATGTAGATACCCAACTTTCAAATAGCAGTTCATACTGCCTGTTTTCAGGATTGCCTTAAACTTACAGGTGCTCAAAATCAATAGCTTTTATGGTCAACCTGAAAATCTCTTAGATTACAAAATTTAGGTGCTCCTTAGTCTCCCTGTGGAAAATAGGTAGAGAATGCATGGGGGTGTTCCCCCACTGATTGTTCAAAAAGCTCAACTCAGACGGGCTCAACCTATAAATGTTGTAGCATATCTTAGGCAGTTGTGATCTCTCCTATTGTTACTGGTTTGCAATAGAGCTCAACAGAGCCATTGATCTGAAAAGAATGTTCTTATGTATTTAGGCTAATTTTCAGTCTCACCAGTACCACAGACTGCTATATATTGTCTTAATCAAGAAACACTGAATCCTTCTTCATCCCTCATTGAGCTTGTAGAGAATTGTTGTTGTTTGCCATCTGCCCAATCCCTGACAAATATTGTCTTACTTTCTGATGACATTCACTCTGGCCAGCCACATAACCAGAAGGGCTTCTTTCAAGCAGAACAGAAAACCCAAAAGAACATTTTACCTTCCCCCTGTTATTTGGAAGAGAGAGGAGGCTACCAAATCCATTACTGTTCTGATGTCCTTCATATTTGAATTTCACATTCTGACTGCTCTGTGGGAAACCTATCAGTCTTTGTGGGACTTTCTCAAATCTTCTGAATGGCCTTCTCACCAGAACAAAATCTCTTAACTCCTTTTAGCACTTAGGATTTATTTACATGCCTGTTGTAGCATCTAACCCCTGAAGAATGGCAAGTGTTTCAAGATAGTTTCCAGATGATGCTAGACCAGCTTGCTGTAGTGCTGCTGGGGAGAGATGGCAGCAATGTTCAGCCTGTAAACTAGAGCAGATGCACCATTAGAAGCCCTCGGTCCTGCTAGGTACCATAAAAATGACTTGAGTATGTTCTTTGTCTTGCGGATTTGTTTTTACACAAATGACTGAATTGAGATGATTGAATTCTCATCTAAGATACCAAAAAGTGCTTGAGGCTCGAGTCCAGGTTCCTTAAGTTCTACAGAGCTGATGAGTTGAGTCCTACATATCTTTCTGGTCTAACTTTTTCTAGCCATCCTTGAGGACCCATCTTCTTAAGTCTTCAAGAGCATTAAGAGTGCCCTGTAATCTCTCCCAAGAGTCCAAGCCAAAATCTCCATGCCCATGCCCATGCTGTTGCTTTGTTCTTGGGAGTGAACTGATATCACTAGTGAAAAAAAAAAAAAAAAAAGAAAGCAAGAAACCCAACAAACAGCATTTTCTTTAATGGAAGACATGAATGGGCATGTTGTTTGTAAAGGCAGTGTAGCCAGTTACACAATATTTTCATTATCTCAGCGATTCAGGGGCAAGCTCTTTGATGTGTTATCTGCCTCCATGCCCAGCACGGCAGCAGAAATGGTGGTTTTGATGCACTATATAACTCTGCTGCTATATTATCACCTTGCTTTGTTGAAATAATAGCAGCTATTATTGTGCCTCAGGCACCAGAAGACCAGTACAAGGAGTTATTTTGAACTCTTTCCCATGACGTCTGGAAAATTGCTATGCAAATCTCATCTAGGCTCTTTCTTCCTGGCCTGCAAATACTCTTTCCTGAATTCAGTCTTCCCAAAATATTTCCCTTCCAAGGAGTGAGCCCTCCTGTGTTCCATCTGGGGTCAGGAGTGATCCTGGATGCTGGGGATGCAGTGTCTAGGGGGGCCTGTTGTCTGTCAGAGCCATAGTCCAAGAGAGTCCTCATGTGCAGGGCAGTGCTGTGGCTTCTCTGCTGACTCATGTCCAGATACTGCTGGTCACCTACAGCCCAAAGGGCTGGAGACACTGCCTCTGACCCCACCAATGCTTGAGCTATCAGCTGGGAGGCAGGGATAGGTAGGGACCAAGACATGAGAAATTTGGAAGGACTGTGCCATCTTCTGGATGCAGTGCATGGAACAGAGGGAGGTGAAGGTCTTGTCCCCTCTGAAGCCCTTTTTGTGCCCACAGAGCAGCTGAGAGTAGCTCAAATGTGGGTGTATCATCAGTGAGAGCAGCTTCCATCCACTGAGCACTGCTGATAACTAAAGCAGGATGGCTCTTGCCACCTCTCCACAGCTGAGGCAGCTGAAGCACAAAGGGAAGAGTAGGAGAGTTTCTCCAAGCTGAGGTCTGAACCCAGCTCAATACCTCCCACATCTCCTTGGGTCTTTGGGCTAAGGGGAACTTAGAAAGCTCAGCATTCTGGGACATGGAGGCTGGAGAGAGCTGCTGCCCTCTGGATGTGGGAAGTGTTGGCAGGAGCAGCAGGACCCATGAAGTTACCAGTATCCTGGTGGAAAACACCAGTGCAGCTTTGAAAGTTGTACTCACTTCATTGCCTCAGTAAGAGAACTCCAGCTCTGGGCTCTTCTCAGTCCTGGGATGAAGGAAGCTACCTGCAACCCAAGAGTGATGTACAGGGAGCACCAGAGTCCTTGCCCTCCTGGCATTTCTCCTGGGGGTTCTCCAGCCAGAGACAGCATCGCTGGGAGTGTTTGGGAGTTGCCAGCAGAGGGAGATGGCCAGCCGCCTGCCAGGCTCCCCCAAATCTGGCACATTGTGCTTGAATCCTGTAATTGCTGTTCCTCTGGATTGTCTGTCCTGCCTGTCAGCAAGGTGTGCCAGCTCCTCTGACACTTGCTCTCCTGGCTGTGTATCTTCACTGCAGTTGAGTACTTGTGACTTCACCATCTCAGAAATCTGACTGTGCTGGCATTTTATACAAACATTTACAGAACATCAGTTTGAGGTTCTGTGAACACAGGCTCTTTCTAGTCTGATAAATGCTCTGCGGTTCAGAAAAATTCTGTCTGTTTGGAAGTACCCTTTGGGCTTTCGTGGATCCATATCTTTCTTAGCTTTCTTATCTTTCCATAGCTTTCTTCCCCCTTTTCTTCATTAATTAGCATGGATTTTATCCAGACCACTTATGGTGACATCTTGTTTTAGTGTTGATCCTAGTTGTTCCAGCTATCATCTAAAGAAGTGGCTGCACTGGCAGCCAGAGTTGTCTGAGCTGCTCAGCACTCTCAAATTTTGGTGACTTTGGCAGCCATCAGCCTTAATATACCTCCATGTCCTTTTTTCATTACAAGAACACCAACCTGCCTGCCTATCATAATGACAGGTATGACTCAGTGTCTGATCAGCATCCCACAAATGAAGATCCTCATCCTGTAGTGGGACCATGTTTTGCACATTGCCCTATGGAAATCTGAGTTCAGTTCTGCCAGTGAGACATCTGGTGAGCTGCAAGACTCTGGGCTGTGACTCGCATGCCTTGTGTTGCTGTGACATCAGGCTGCCCGCTTAGCACTGTTTAGACACTGTGCCTGCTTGAATCATAGAATATGCTGAGTTGGAAGAGATTCATCAGGATCATCAAGTCCAGCTCTTGGCCCTGCACAGCACTACTCCAAGAATCACACCCACAAGCATTATCTGAATGCTTCTTGAACTCTGTCAGGCTTGCTGCTGTGACCACTTCCCTGTTCCAGTGCCCAACCACCCGCTGGGAGAAAAGCCTTTTCCTAACTTAAACCTGCTCCTTGAAGCATGGGTACTTCAGGTTTTCTCTTCTTCCTGCCAGCACCCCATCTCCACCTTCTCTCAGATGCTTCATATCCCTTATCTTCCCCAAGAGAGCTGGAGAAATTACTGCAGACTTCCCACGGCAGACAGCCGGGAGCTCTTGTTGACAAAGAAGACATATTCAAGGATGGAAAACCCATGGGAAATATTTATAGATAGGCTAAGTATGGTACAGAGGAACTGGTGGAAGTTTCAAGATGTTTAGATAAGTACTTTGAATCTCTACCAATATATGAAGCAGTGCCCAGGACCATTCCTAGTTCCTTTTAATGAAAGAGGTTGGCCTGCTTTTTGTCGGTGCCAGACAGCAGTCTGCCAGACTTCCCTGGACATGTCCCTGGTCTGCAGACAACAGAGACCATTCCCCGTGGGCTGTTTGCAGGCAGCCAAGCTTGGAAACAGGCCTTTCCATGCCAGTTGTTCTCTGCACGTGGAAGTGTGACTGAGATTTTTAATTTAATAGCATCAAGTCACTGGTAATTATGATAAAAATGACCTTAAAAAGGAGCAAAGTTTTTAAAGAAAATTATCCCTAGGATAAAACATTAAATCTTGGGAACTTGGGTGGTTGGACTATGTGTAGTTGCGTTAGACTATCAGCACTGAAGTTATGATTTAATGTTTTGGGTGTTTTTTTTTAAAAATTCACCTCACTTTTTGGTCCTTTTATAGGGCTGGGGAGCAGAGTATCATCGCCAAGATGTTACAAGCACGCCTTGCTGGATTGAGATCCACCTTCATGGACCACTGCAATGGCTGGATAAGGTGCTGACACAGATGGGCTCACCTCACAACCCCATCTCCTCAGTCTCTTAAGAATCATCTCTAGAATTCCCTTAGGATGGATGCTATTGCAGGCAGTGGCTTATAGAATTCCCTTGAACAGAAGCTTCTATATGTAGATATATGTAGATGTAAATAGATCTATACATAGTCTACTCTCTTTTTTATTTTTTTTTTCATTTTGTGGTTTCTAGTTACTCTGATGCCAGTACAATAAGTTTAGAAATTTGGGTATAGTATATCTGTTCTCTAGTACAAAATAAGCCAAATTCCTGCAAAAGTGTCAAACATTTCCTGTGAGCATCTTCATTCCCCAGCCAAGCCAGTAAACGGTGCAAATTTCCAGCACTTTCACATGGGTTCAGAAACCTGCCTGTCGCTGTTCCTAGTAGGTGAAATTCACCCCTCTGCAGGCAGCAGAAATCAGATCTCTGTGCCATTTATATTCATCTTACATCCTGATTTCAAGTCCAGAAGAGGACCTGAGGTGGTGCACAGGACTTATACATATGAGATGACTTTTATCTAGTGAACTGGAGGACTGAACTGCCATTCCAGTGTGTCTCCCTACTACAAAGCATGATGGGACAACAAATCCTCTGAAGAGCTGATGCACACTGTCTCTCCTGGGATTTGGCAGGAGGAGGGAGCATGTTCATCACAGGAACCTTATCTCAGAGCATTCTGGACAATCTGAGTAGTCTGATACTGCTAACATAGTAGGGTACGGTACTGCTGCACTGAAAAGCAACAAGCTTCTAAGAAAAAAATAATAATTTAAATATATGCCCATGAGTTAAAAAAACTAATTAACTTCCAGTGCTTTTTTGCAAAGTACATACATACTTGCATATGTGTCCGACATGTAAACTAAATCCTGTCCATTCTACAGTGTTGATGTAGTTTGTTTTAAAGTTAGGACTGTCTGTATTTAGACTGTTGTGCTGATACACCTAAAGGGTGCAGCTAAAAGGGACTTGAACTGTGATTCAGAAAAGGGAAATGAATTGTGCATTGAAGAAGCAAATAATTACTTTTTCATTCATCTTGGGAACAGAAAGCCCCACACTCAAAGGATACAATGAGAAGGAGATGGGAGTCAGCCATGTCCATCCCCTGTACTGGGCCAGTCCTCGGGATCTGACAGCATTGCTCGGGTCTGACTGAGAGGGCTTCCCTTCCAGTCAGTCCATACATCCCTGTGGATGGTTTATCATCTTAGGTACAGGCTTCTTCATTTGCTGAGCTTTTGCCTTGCCTGCAGAGGATGGTGAGGCATGGTGAAGCCATGAACAAGTAAAGAGTGAATCTATGTGCAGAACCTTGTCTGTGTTCCTTCTGTAAGCAGGGAAACCTATTGCCCATACCCTAATCCCATCCTTGCAAAATGCTGTTCACTTGGAAACCTTTCCTGAGAAGACAGGTGAAACTCTTACAACATTTTGATGGTCTTTCCTTTTGATGAAAGAGCTGAGGATTATTTCTTTACAGGCATAACAGTCCACTGAAAATTGTTTTTATTTAAGGGTCAGAAGGAGTGATAACATCTCCAAAATCATTCCTCCACAGAACAAGTAGAAATACTAATAGAAAAAAAAAATAGTTTTTTTCAGAAATTCTGTATTTTTCAGAATATTTCTTTTCTTCTCACACAATATCTGGTGCAAGACATTTTGCTGCATAATTAGAAGAGGACTCCTGGAATCTTCAGCTGTATCACACATGCAAAAGGAAATAATATTCACTGGAAAGGCAGTGAGTAAACTAACAGTGTTACTTCCTTTGAATGCACCTTTAGCTGCCTGCAGCTTCAGCAGGGCACAGAAGAAAAAATTGTTGTTAAGTTTGAGCAGTAATAGCAAGTTGTGTAGGAAATTTTTAAGTGCAAAGAACTCCATTCTGTCACCATTTGATGTCAGCAGTGTCACTGTGAGATAGAAAAAGCTTTACAGTCTCTTTCAGCAATGAAATCCAATAACAATAATAATCATATACAGAAATTTCAGGTGTGCCATCTACTATTTAGCAGACTTTATAGACATCAAAAGTTTGGAAAAGTGCATTTTCCTTAGCTCTCTCTGTCATAAGTGATCAGAAACTGGTAACATTTTTTAGCGTGATTTTTTTCCAGTTGCACCTTTACTCCAGGATGAGCACCTTCTAATTTTGCTCATTCTTTTTTTTTTTTTTTTTAGCAGCTAAAGACAGAATAAATCACCTTTACTGTCCAGGATCTAGCTCTGTCCCTTATCCTAGATCCTTCCTTGCCTTTTAGGCTGAAGCCTCCTTCCCTTTTAATATAGAGAGAAGCCTAGGAGATCATTTTAGACATTCCCAGCATTGTCATCTTCCTCACAGAGAGCAAAGGGAAATGTTCTGAGGTGCATCTGCTCTTGGGCAGCTTCAGAACTCAGTTTTCTGTCCAGGCTGCAGAGAAAAGTTGGATGGCCAGTGAAGAGAAGCAATTTCTTCTGAGGCATTATTTTTTTCATCACAAGGTATTTCAAGCAGGTGAAATGCACTCCTATCTCAGCATGCTTGTGTCTTCCCAGTGAGTACAAGGGGAACTCAGGGTCATTAGCTGAAATGCAGACTGCTACACTGGATGTATTAAAAAATAGATGAGGGGAACCCTAATGAAGGTGTGGTGACTTTCTCAGCCTAGTAATGATGCTTCCTCAGTAAGTGTATGTTTGGTTTAAATGGAAGTTGGTCAATTTAGAGCAGTTTTTCTGTCCTTTATGTCTACCTTTAATCATTTTACAAATAGGATTTGGCTTCCATGTAGTCCATACATGCATCTCATTTAAGGTAGTCACTTTAATAACTGCCTTACTAATAAGAAAAGAGGCATTTCTGGAGCATGATTTTTCTGACCCATTTAAAACACTTGTATTATAATGAGATGAATTTCAGCAAATTTAACTATTTGCTGAAAACTGGATCAAAGCACTCGATTCTGGGCAATTCTGGCAACAGCCATCTGTTTTCAGCCTTTGGGAAGGCTGATACCACTGTGTCAGTTGTTTCCTATTCTGATGGTTTAGGGGGGTTTAGCCCACTGTGCTGTGCACACACAGAAGATGACAGCTCCTCCCCAAAGCCCACTGTACATGGGAGGAGTGGTAACAGTGGATGAGACAAAAAAGTAAATAAGATGTCCCCTGCCCAGATGCAGAGATAAAAAAGTAAGGCTAATAAACCATTTATTTCCCTTTCTTTTTTAACAAAGTTTCTTCTACTGGCGTCTCTAATATATATGAATTCCAATTGGTTAAAATTCAGGTTTCTTATAATTTACAGCAATATAACTTTGTATCTCTAATGTCTTCTCCACTTTGGAAGAAGATAATTTCTGCTCAAAGGTCTTCATGAACCTTTAAACCTGTAGTCAGTTTATGGTCTTTATAAATGTTCTACTCATTAATGCTTAGGCTTTGGAGACAGTCTTCTTGAGAGATTTAAAACCACTTACAGCAAGACTACTTAGTTGAAGGCAGATTGTTAAAATGGGTTTTTTTGAGTCATCAACAGTTCATGGCCTCTTAAAAGTTTCTGTGGAGGAGTACCATGCATCAGCAGGGAGCAGTGGGAGCTTATGAGGCAGAAGCATAAAGCACATTCAGCATGGTACATAGACCACTTGTTTCCCTATTAAATAGTCGAGAGATTACTTCTGTTGCTGCCAGTTCTTCGGCACCACCAGTATTAATGTGCTGTTTGCATCCAGAGGTGACAGAAGCAAATCTTACACCCTGACTATCTGGAGCCATTCCATGGCACTGCTGCTTGGGTGGCCCAGTCCCATCCCCTTGCTAGGAAAAGCTGCCCAGGTACGGCACAGCAGTGACTGTAGCATTGCAAGGTGTGGCTTGTGCTTGCCCTCCCCATCAGCTGGGATTCCACTAATGTCTTTACTCCTCATCAGAATGCTTCAGTCTGAAGGGTAATGTACCAGAAGCATAAAGGAAACTGTGGCCCAAAGTAGCATCAGCTGGAGCTGAGGAAATCCCTTCCATGTCTACAGCGGGTACGGTGTCAAGACTTTCACTGCCTTGAGCAGCCTTGTCTAAGCAGTCCCTGTCTGGAGCAGGGTGTCAGACTTGATGCCATGGTGAGATCCCTTCCAATATACATCATCCTTTGGGTCTCTGTGGAGATTCAGTGATAACTGGTTGCCACAGGAGGGGCTCTCTGTTAGCAGCACTTTCAGGATGAAACATGTTTCCCCTCAGCTATTTAATATTAGCGTTCCCTCAGCATAAAATCAGCACTACAAACATCTCTCGCTGTAAACACATCTTCACCCTCTTAAAATGCAGAAAACAAGGCATTTGTGACTGTAACCTTATCTAATCTGCCCTTGTTCTTCCTGACTTACAACACCCACCTTTGTCTATCAGCTCTACAAATGAATCTCACCAGTGACTAAGGAGTTGCACAAACAGCTGGATTTACAGAGGTAGCTCAGGCAGAGACTTTGCTTCTTGACTGCATGAAAACAACTAATAAAAAAACCCTGATCAATTTAGGAACTTTAAAGGGGTATCAAGTATTAAACTAATGTTCTTGGATCAAGACTGCTCTGGTACAACTATAACTTTAAGGAATACTTTAGCACTACATGGTACTTAGCAAAGGAAAGAAACATTACATCCTCTGTACTATTCACCTCTTCCGCTGGCTCCCCATAACCTAACTTAGTACAAGCAAAATCAAACACAACAAAAAAAGATCAATGAGTCATAAGGCTGAGCAATTAAATACCATTTTTCAAAGTTGAGCAGTGCTGTCTAAAATGTAGATTTATATCACAAGAAGGCCATAGGACAAGTGGGTAATGGCTTTATGAAAGAGGGTAGTTTTATTTAAGATATTAGGCAGAAATTCTTCATTGTGAAGGTGGGGAGACACTGGCACAGGAAAAGCTATCCCAGAGAAGTTGTGGATGCCCTGTCCCTGGAATTGTTCAAGGCCAGTTTGGACAGGGCTTTGAGTAACCTGATCTACAGGAGGGTGTCCCTGCCCATGGCACGAGGTTGGGACTTATCATCTTTAAAGATAATCAAACTATTTGATGGCAATGATGTCCCAGATGCCCGCCAAGCCAGAAACAAGACTTCCTTGCTCTGGAGAAACCTGGAGAAGCAGCTGTTACTTGAACATCTGAACTCAAGCCCTTCTGAGTGGAGACCTCACTGAAGGGGCTGAGAAAATTTTTATAAAGGATTTATAGTTCATGGGTGTTCCAGTAGCCAGAAGTGCACTGAGATGATGAAGAGACTGAGGAGGAGGAGGGAGCATACAGCCAGATAAGCCCAGTGGTCATCACTGGAGGTATAAGGCAGTACACGCTCAGGCAGCCACTCAAGGCCTGTTTTAGGAGCAGCTTGCAGTACCACAACCCTTGCTTGGGTTTTTCCTACACACCTGCCCTGGGAGAACATGCCAGCTTCCTGATTAAACCATCCGATGTAGTGGGGCAGATGGTGTCCCATGTGCTCCAGAGAGTACGCTCTGGTTGCATTTGGGAACCGCACTTGGAAGATTATCCTCTGCCTTGCCTCAAGACTAATGAGGAGCTCAGCACTCAGTACTGGGGCACTGTCCAAGGACACATCCAGTATGTGCTCATCAAAGAAAGATGCAATCTAAACAGAAACAGCACAACTGAAAGATGTGGACTATATATAGAGAGAGCATCTAACCTGGGAATTGCAACAAACCAGCTCATTTCAAGATAAGGTGGGAAATTGCAGTGCCCAAAGGAAAACAAGACAGCAGGAACCTTCATGAGGACTCCTGACTATGAAATCAGATTTTTAACAGTACATAAGGATGGACAAGTGTGATTCCCTAAGAGCAACTAAGAGCTCAAGTTACCATGAAAAAAGAGCTCGACAAAGTTAGTCCCATCTTGCAGCGGGGAAAGAGGTTCTGTGAGACTTGAGATCTATGAATTAAAAAGTTCTCAACCTGGAGGCTTCATTGCAGACACTGAAACAGGGCTTGTTCCTCATGGCAGCTCCAGGAGTACCTTTCTGCAAGGCACAGGAAGCCTGAGTGGGCATTTAGTCTTTGTTCCGTTGAGAGAAATTGCTTTGTGTCTCTAGGACAGACAGACAATTCTGCATGTTGGGGACCAGCATGGAACACAGCCTTTGGTTTGTACCCATCATCTATCTACCCATAGGAAGCTCCAGAACAGCCAGGAACAGCCAGAATCCTGTTATGTGCTCACTCCAGGGCTTTCCAGACACCCTGCCCAGGCGTGCCTTACATTACATTGCCATACT